CTGTAATGGAATTTACATCCTTGATGGTGTGCCCTAGATGAAGGTAAAATTCTATTGGTTAGTTACTCTGGCCACCAGATAAAACAGGCATGATGATTCTTGCTATTTAATATTCCGATCGTTAGGTTAATCATGACAGTTAAATACAAGATGACTAAACTGAGGCTGTCATACTTTGGCCATATTATGAGAAGGTATGACTCACTGGGAAATACAGTAATGCTAGGGAAGGTAGAAGGCAGTAGAAAAAGAGGGAAATTGCACATTAGATAGATAGGATCATTGGAAGGTGGTGGTCACAGGCCTGAATCTGCAAGACCTAAGCGACGCAATGGAGGACAGTGGGGCTTGGAGATGCCCATCTGAAGGGTCACCATGAGTCATGGTTGACTCAAGTGCAGTCAACAATAACAATATATACTAACAGATTCAGAGCACAACTGAATATCTACACCTCTCCTGCTCTGGGAGAATCTGGCTGGATAGGATTCAGCACCTTGGACAGATCTTTTAAAATCTACTAAATCTACAGCTCTCCTAAAACTCAAGAGTAGATTTTGTCCACTCCAAACATCTGAGGAAATAGGCTCAAGTCTATGAAAGCTCATGCTATCAGCTCCTTTCTTTCAGTTAGTCTCAAAGGTAATATAAGATCCTGTTGCATACTGATTGTCCAGATTAACATGGTTATGTTTTGAATTCTACAGGGGTAGATTTGGCATCCCACTGATATCAGATCGAATGGATTTCATTGACTTCCATCAATTTTTGTCCTTTGCCAAGTTGGCTGGGGCTTTTATGTGTTGATTTCCAAAATATCTGAAGAGCTAAAGATTCTTCACTCTTGTTCTAGAACTCAGGACTGCCTAGGAAGGAGCAATTTCCCTTGGGGGTCCCACAAAGCAAACACACACACACACACACACACAAAACCCTTCCTCAGCTCCTGTCTGTATCATGGCCCTGATCCCAGACACAATGCTGCTGTATTACTCAGACCCTCTCACATGAATGGGCTGCATCAATATTTGTGTAGTATCTAGAGCTGAGAGAAAAAATAGCACCACTCATAGAATCATAGACTCACTTGATCAGATCTCATCTGGACTACTGTGTACGGTTGTGGGCTCCACAATTCAAGAGGAATATTGTCAACCTGGAGGAGACCCAGAAATAGGCAACAAAAAATTGTGAAAAGTCTGGAAACCACTTCTTATAATGAGTGACTTAGGGAGCTTGGTATGTTTAGCCTGGTGAAGAAAAGGTTAAGGGGTGACATGATAGTCCTGTTTAAATATTTGAAAGGATGTCATACTGAAGATGGAACAAGCATGTTTTCTACTGCTCCATAGATTAGGGCATGGAGCAATGGATTCAAGCTACAGGAAAAGAGATTCCACCTAAACATTAGGAAGAACCTCCGGAGAGTAAAAGCTGGTTGAGAGTGGAACATGTTGCCTCAGAGTGTGGTGGAATCTCCTTCTTTGAAGGTTTTTCAACAGAGGCTGAATTGGTCATCTGTCAGGAGGGCTTTGATTGTGTATTCCTGCATGGCAGGGAGTTGGACTGGATGGCCC